CTAAGGACGGGAGGTAGTATTTTCATAGACAGACAACAGTGATGCTTGTACTGGTGCGGAGTGACAGGTGCACTGTCCACTTGTTATTTAGTTGCTGCTGCCTGCTGGATGCTGAGGAGTGAGGGGACTTGTAACTGCAAGTCAACTTGTGTGCCGGCTCAAGTGAGCATCCACATCTAGCTCGCCCCTCTGCGTCGCCCTGCTTGCCGATCTGCTGCGATACCCACCGGAGCCGGGAGATAATGGGCGTCATCAAGGCGGCGTCGGATTCCATGTCTATGGCCTGAGCTGAGCTTCTCTGCTGCCACTCGTGCCATCGCGACGACAGGTCTGTCTGCGCTCCCTATCTTCACTGCTGCAAAGCGTTGTTCTGTTGCAATTTGCAAAGCTGCTCTTGGTCGAGTACTGTTTCTTCTGTCCTGTTAGCTGGCATCCCCAGCTCGGTCATGAATCCCAAACCCAAATGTTATAGGTTCTTGAAAGCTGAGATTTATCTCCTTCAATTTTTAATTTTTAATTTTATTTTTTGCAAAGCTGCTAGTTCACTTCTGCCCCTTTTGCTTACCTTGTTTTGTGAATCCTTAGCTAGATCCATTTTGAGTCGGTCAGTACTCAGTAAGTCTGCAAAGTCTTGTCAGAGAGTAACAAACAACACTTGGAAATACATGTTGCCTCAGATCTTAATTCTGCTAGAAAAGTTGTGTGTAGAGTGTACACTTTGTAGATACACTAATTAAGGATTATAGCTTTAAGCCCGGTTCGCTTAAGCTTATTCATAACTACTTTTCAGCTGTTTTTTCTCTCACAATATTTCAACATAAGCATCAGCATAAGCCAAATTTCAACATCAGCGAACAGGGTGTTTGTCGCCAGCCACCTGCATACATTTGCCTTCATTTATTTGGTGATAAATTGGCCTTTCTACCTTGTCTCGCTTAATTTGATTGCGTCTCCTGATGAAACCACTGGGATCTGGAGTGGATTTGACCGTTTGAGTGAGTATACGAAGTTCCGTACTGATGCGTAACGCTTGGGCTTGGGCTTGGGCCAGACATGGCCTAGGAAAACCCCGTTTGTCGGCCTGAAAGAGGTCGCCTAGGCGGCCAGGCCTACGCCTACCCAATAAAGCTTTTTCGCCTACTAAGGCCCTGTTTGGTTCTCTAGTCCATGGACTAAAAGTTTTAGTCCACTTTAGTCGTGAACTAAAGTGGTGTTTGGTTTCTTGAACTAAAATGGACTAAGCGCGCGTTTAGTTCGCGAAAAGTGCGAAATTTGGCTACTGTAGCAATTTCGTTTTTATTTGGTAATTAGTGTTCAATCATGGACTAATTAGACTCAAAACGTTCGTCTCGCAATTTCCAACAAAACTGTGCAATTAGTTTTTATTTTCGTCTATATTTAATGCTCCATGCACGTACCGCAAGATTCGATGTGACGGGTACTGTAGCACTTTTTGGGAAAACTTTTTGCAAACTAAACAAGGGCTAAAGTGGAGAGAGAGGACAATAAATGAGAGGCATGGGTGTCTCTAATACCTTTTAGTCCATTTTAGTTCAGTTTTGTGGACTAAAGGACTAAAGGATTTTAGTCCACTTTTAGTCCAAGTGTTTGGCTGTTTAGTTCAACTAAAGTGCAGATTTTAGTCCAAAATGCTTTAGTCCAAGGAAACCAAACAGGCCCTAAATGTGACACCAGGCTGGGCTGGACTAGGTTGTGCTACCCGTCCAACATAAAACGTTAGATAGATTGGGCTTCAGTTCTCTTTGTTACAGAACGAACAAAACACAGCCTGTATTTAAAGACGAGAGCCCGGTATAGAACAGATGGGCTTAGCAGCAGCACTGGCGAGGACCCAGCACAGCCCAAATCTCGTCCCTATCTTTAGCTACCACAGCGTTCGGCATCGCTTACCATTTTCGCCTACGGCAGATGCTGGCTAGATGCCGCCTTTTAAGCGTCACTGAAAACAGATACCCCTGGTAAAGCTGCTGAGGGAAAAGAGAAGCTTCCTCGGAGGTTCCTGCCGTTAGCCCAGGCAACAGCCCAACAGGCATGGCTAGTCGTCGTCCTCGTTGGTTTCTCCGGCGAACTCCAACTGCCCCCCTCGACGCGGACGTACGTTGCTATCCTATCTTGCCTCTCTCTTTTTTTTCTCACACGACGTTGCTAGGGCTGAATTTAAAAACTCCAATCTTGTCAGCTCGTTCGGCTCATGGATAGCTTGGCTCGGCTCATATAATATCCTAATATGCCAAGCTCATCTTTTAGCTCGTTAGAGAAGCTCGACAAGCCAAACAAGCTAACACACAACCCAGTAGTAGCCTACCAAAAACTCGTCCAAGAAATAGCCTATGGAGTATGGCCCAACAAACCAATTGTGAAACCCTACAACGTCTACCATCGGCCATTCGAGTTCCTCACCACCTCAGGTCAGCGGTCAGCCGCCGCCGCCGCCTACCACATCCTCTTTCAACTCCTGCCTTGTTCCTATCGATCCCCATCGATCTCTCCTCTACTGTCTTCGCTGCGCAGCTGCACTGCGCGTGCCCCTGCGCGAAGCCGACCGGTCGCCACCATCCGCTCAAAGCTCATTTAGTCATTAGGCTCCTGGTTGCTAGTCACTGTAGGCCCAAGCGCATAGCCGCACTGGTGGGTAGCTGACGCAGCTCACGGCGATGACAAGATACGCACGCCGCTCGCTGCCCCTTCTTCTACGCCTTTTTACTACTCGCTCTGGCCCTTTCGCTTGCTTTCTCCTGCACTGTATTAAAAATCCAAATCTTTTCTCCTTTTGCTTGATCTTGTTTCACTAATCGTGTTTTGATTTGGCTGATTCACCTGATTGTATGGAAACGATGCTACGTTTATTGATTTGCATACTGATTTGACAATTAAATATTGTATGCGAACCTTTGAAAACGTGAACTAAAGCCAAGCTAGATTTTTAGCTCGAGCCGAGCCGAGGTGAGCTCGAGCTGGACCGTGCCAGCCGCTTTTCCTCGAAATGATAAGCTGTGCTCTCTCTCTCTCCCCCCGTCTCTAGCACGCACTCTCTCTCTAGAGCTAACCGGCTGATTAAAGCTACTCCTACTTGCGTAGTAGTACGGCCCTGTTGGTTCTTTAGCCGTCTTCTAAAATTCCTGACATGAATTTTACGAGACAACCAACACCCTTACTTTGGGTTTGGCATCCGGGGACTCTTCTGTCTTTCTCTCTCTAGAGCACGCACTCTTCTCTCTCTTGTCATTATCAAGACAGAAGCGAACTTGCAGAGAGGAAGGACTGGATGCAGGACTGCAGATGCGATGCTCATGCAGAGTGGACTCGGTGGTGCGGAGTGCGGATGTGGGGAACGGCAGCAGCGGACAGCAGAGTGGACTCGGTGGTGTACCGACTACCGGCTCGGCTCGTTCTGGATTTTATTTTCGGGAGTAGGTAGCGTGCTCGTGCGTTGTTACGTGATAACTAAATATTTTATATTAAAAATACACGGATCGCACGATAAGATAAAAGTACTGTTAAATTAAATACCGATGTTAAAGTGACATTTAATTCAAAAAGCAAAGTTCATGAAATTAACACAGTCACGGAGAGCGCGACGTCGCAGGCTCACAAACTCTAATGTATAGACTTTTTCGTGATACGGCAAAGATAATATTTTATATCAGCAGAAAGAAATCTACGATATTCATTTCTTTCATGTGCCAATAAATCCATGAATAAATTCTGCTACATCTCCATATAATCATGTACACATAGGTTCGAGTATATATATAAATAGGTTCGTACCCGTGCGTTGCTATGGGACATCTAAACTTTTATACTAAAAACACACTAATCGCACGATAAGATAACAATACTGTAAAAGTATATGGCCGACGTTACAGTGACATTTAATCAAAAAGCTAAGTTCGTGAAATTTACACAGTCATAGAGAACGTGGCGTCGCAGGCTCATAAACAATACTGTGTAGATCTTTTCGTGATGCGGCTAAGATCATTTTTTATACCAGTAGAAAGAGATTTTCGATATCTATTTGTTTCATGCGCCAACAGATTAACGAATAAAGCTATATTTAATGTTCTTTATTAATATCTAAATATTTGATGTGACATAAATTTTAGGAGCGAGACAACCAACACCCGTACTTTGGGTTTGGCATCCGGGGACTCTTCTGTCTTGCTCTCTCTAGAGCACGCACTCTTCTCTCTCTTGTCATTATCAAGACAGAAGCGAACTTGCAGAGAGGAAGGACTGGATGCAGGACTGCAGATGCGATGCTCATGCTGCTGCTGCTAGGTTCACTGGGGCTGTGTTTAGTTCGCGAATTTTGAGAATTTGGCTAATGTAATATTTTTGTTTTTATTTGGTAATTAATGTTTAATCATAGACTAATTAGGCTCAAAACGTTCGTCTCGTGATTTTCAACAAAACTATGTAATTAGTTTTTTTTGTCTATATTTAATGTTTTATGCGCGTATCACAAGATTCGATTTAATAGCTAGTGTATTATTTTTTGGGAAAGTTTTTGAAAACTAAACAGGATATAAATATATATAGGTGGCTTCTGATAAGCAACGAGAAGCAGAAGCACGGAAGGGACCTGACGCGACGCGACCGTGGAATTGTTTTTTCTCTTGGCGCCGCACCGCTTCAGCGGACAAGGGTTAAAACGTCTTCTCTTTCGCTTTCCAATCCCCTCCCCTGCCCCACAACAATATCGCATTGACAGATCGTTCATCGTATCCTCCTCAAGTCCTCTGATCCTCTCCCGCGATCCCCTCAATCCAGATGCGCAAACATCGAATCGTCTCACTCATTTCCTTTTACATGCACTACACCCACTTTCTGCAGCTATATATACCACCATATGCCCATCTTATAAAACCATCCACAAGAGAAGAAGAAACAAGCAAGTAGCAAAAGTGCAAAACTCTCTTCTCCCCTTCCCCGTCCCTCCACGCCTCGAGGCTCGAGATCGTCCTCCCCAACCCAACACCATGGTGAGGGGTGTCGCCGCCTTCGGCTTCGCCGGCCTGTGTCTGGCCTTCGCCACCCTCGAGCTCTTCACCTTCCTGTACCCGCAGTGCGGTGCGGGCACGGGCACCACGACATCCGCTGAAGCCCCTCTGCTCCACAGCGCGGCCGAGGTTTTGCCGCCGTTGGCTGCGGTGGTGGTCCTCTTCGTCGCCGTCGCGCTCAACTACCACCACTTGACGGGTCGCCGCGTCGTCGCCGTGCCCGTGGCCGGCGCGGGCAACGAGCGGCGCTCGATCTCGAGGCTTGTCATGTTCGCGCTATGCGTCTCCGCTGGGACGCTCGAGTTCATCGTGTTCGGGCAGGCCACCGGTGGTGGTGCGGAGGATCACGGGGGTGCCCAAGATCGCGCGCTCGCCCTGGCTGCTCTCCGCGCGCTGCCTGCCGCGGCGACGGGCACGTTCTTTTCGGGGATGTCGCTCATCATCGTCGCGCACGTCCGCGCCGGCGGCGAGGGTGGTGGTACCGGTGCCGTTGCCAGAGACGAGCTGATCCAGGGGCTCCTGCGCCTCCTCACCAAGGTCGCGGTCGGAGCGGCGGCGGCGCTCGTCGGCATAATCGCTATGGCCCTCACCTTCTACGGCGCCAAGTAAGTTGCCCCAAACTCTGCCGCCGATGGACCTTAGCATTCTCGGCTGCCCCGTGCGCCCGCGCACGGCGCATCCGCCCTCCGCGGCTCCGCCCCCGTACCGCAGCCCCGCCGCCTTCCTTTCCGCTTGCCGTGCGCCCGTGCATCCTCCCGGCGTCCCCGACTCCCCGTTGGCCCGTTCGCCCTTAACCCCAAACCCCTCTTGTCGGCACTCGGCACGCCTCCGCCTAAACCCCGTTTTCCGTCCAGCTCCTCCAACTTCGTCAGGTTGCGCACCGACCAGCCCGCGGCCGACACTATCACCTAGCCAACCATGGTACCGGTTCCTGTAACCATGGGAAGGGAGTTAAATTCCTCCGTCTCGGACCACTAGACCTTCGCCCCCGATTCGCGCTTCCTGCTGACCTCGTCGCCGCTTCATGTGCGCAGCTGGAGCTACTGGTTCGCTCGGCCAAATAATGCGCGTAGGAAATATCCTCCCGTTCTCCGCAGAGAGACAAGGTGACTCCCGGTCAGGCGGTGACTCGATCGGAGTGGTTGGTGGTGCCGGGCAGGTTCTGGGATTCTTTTCTTGAAAAATCTCCAAGCTCACCGAATTGGACGAAATTCGGAAAATTCGGATCGGTATCCACTATAAATTTGAATGAAATTTAAGCAAATTTGAACAAAATTTCCCCAAACAGTCAAACATGGCACTAGACATGGAGAGGGTGTGTGTGGCCCACCATGGAACGCGCAGGCAGCGAGGAGGGGGGGCGGCGGTGGGTGGTGGCGGCAGGGGGCAGCGTCGGCGCGGCAGATCCGGTGACAGCGCGGGGTGGGCGTCGAGGAGCCGCCATGGCGCGGGGACAGGCGTCAGGGAGCCACCATGGTGCAGGGGCAGGCGTCGAGAAGCGGCCACGGCTCTCGCAGTGGCGGCAGCGGCGGCAACCACGCTGAAGCAGGTGGCGAAGAGCCGAGACTGCGCGTTGCTGGCGGCAACGGCGGAGAGCCAAACGTCGGGTGTTTCTTCGAAGACATCCAATGTTTCTGCGATGTATTCACGGTGGAGAGCCTGTGGGCTCGTTACTGGACCGTTGAATGGGCTAAAATTTTTGAATCGGGCTGAAATATTTGGCCAGTTTAGTTTTATTTTGGGCTGGAGTGAAATGGGCGCATTTCGTTGAAATTCGGTCGATTCAGGCCGAATCCCAGATCGCTATACAAGTGGTCGAGGTGCGAGTGTGGTTGTGCAGCTGATGTCTCCTTTTGCTTATCCATACGGCGGCCATAGGTACGTGCAGCTGCAGACCTGCGCCTGGTCCACGGTGAACAGCTCCGATCAATTGAGTGAACAGTTGGGGCTCTTCAGCAGCAGCAGCAGACACGCCGCTCTTGTCTTTGGCTGTCAAGTGTCACCTGCATGGCGGCATCTTAGACTGAGTTCCTTTAGTGGTGCCTCCAGGTCCTGGGAGGAGTCGATTATCCATTGCAGCGCCGTGGCATCGCCGGCCGCTTTTAACCGTTGTTTTGTTGCCGGCTTGCCGCACTGCTTCATCGTGCTCAACCTTCTCATTTCCCCTAGAACGGATAGATGGTTAATGATCAGCCATCACAAAGCCTTTTGTTGTACATTTATACAATCGTGTTTACAATTGATTGTTTCCCCTTTGCAATATTCAAGATTGGTGTGGTGATTGCATAAAAATGATAAAATGTGGGCAATCTTGTGTTTGTGTCTTGCAGATGCTAAAAACAAAAGTATGGAAGAGGTGCTGGCCGGTTAGCGGTTACATTACAATCAAGGTTCGTCGTGGGGGTATTCTGAGATTGGCACTGCACCGGCCTACACACAGCAAATTTCAGCTATATGTACATAATGAATTTTCGCATGTTATGGATGGTGTACTAAATATGGTTTTGGGCCTTGCGGCGGTTACTTTGTGACTATGTGAGTGGGGTCAGCTGTTGATATTTTAAGCTTGTGTGTCTATCTATTATGGTTGAAAACTTGCCTATGATTTCATACTATGAAACATGGGAATGTGTGGTTGAGTAATATGATGCCATCTTCTGTATGTGGTGAATGTATGTACCAGCTGATGATTGCTATTTTGCCAATTTGATTTGAGATTCTTGTATTGGTGCACTGGCATATGCAGATGTGCAATAAATGTATGTGTTGGCTTTTGCCTAGGAATGGACCTATTTCTTTCCATATACAGGTTGAGACTTGGCAGCTGTCAACTGAGTTTGAAGAGTATCCTGTGGGAGGATTTGATTAAGGTTATGGTTCTCTAAAACTGCAGAATACATCTATTTTTTTTTTCAGTTAGCTTGGTATTTGGGGGGGCTTGTTGGGGGTAACTATCTAGTTCTAGTTTGGTGGTTCCTATTAATTCCTTCTGTTATGTGCTTCTGTAAAACTTCTTCTGGCTTCCGTTCAAGCTATGGGTGTTACTACACATGTACTTTGCTCTAAAAAGATTTGAATGACTGTTAACAAATAACAGTTTATCTGAATTGCTTCTATTGTGTGTGCAGGTAGCAATCAACAAGGCCTAAGCATATGCTGTTATTAGCTGCATCTTAAGCATATCATCAGTTCGTCACTGCCCAGAGATAAGATATGATGCTGTAAGTTTTGTCTCTAAACCTGTCACATAGTGAGACCCTGAATGGCTGAATCCCTGATTGATCACTTAATTAAGATGTCTTTTCAGACTTGTTAATGATGAGTTAACTTGAGATGTGGCAATATTTACCGTGAACCCAAATACGCCCTAGTCACATCTAGTGTCATGCTTGCTATAAAACTTGTTTAGCTCTATTGCAACCTGGTTGTGGTCTTGTTGCAGCTTCTTGTTGATCATGCTATTTTGTGACATTAGTGATATCCATGGGATTGCTGATTTCTGTAGGATCCTCTCTTTGTTTTGCTAATGGTAAATTTCTTAGGTTCCTTTGAGTTTTCTTTTCCTTTTTTTATACTTGTAGAGTTGTAGTGTTAGCAAAGATGTTTTTTTTACTGTTGTAATGTCCAGGACTGCAGATAATAGCGTGGCCAAGGCCAACACATAAGCATATTCATTCTCAACTCCATCTTCATTGTTTCCCAGTCTGGCCGGAAACAAGACATGATTATGTAGGTTGCCTCCAAACCTGACTACAGTAAGATACTAATAGGACCATGATTGACTACTTGTATACTCCCTCCGTTACAAATTATAAGTCGCTATGCCTTTTTTGACACATAGAATTTACTATGTATCTAGACATACGTTATATCTAAATACATAGCAAAATGGATGTATCAAAAAAGTCAAAGTGACTTATAATTTGGAACGAATGGAGTACTTCCTTTGAGAGTTGTAAGAAGTTAGTCACATCTGATGCCTTCTTTGCTTGGTATCTAACCTTATCTAATCACAATTGAAATATGATTGTGGCTAGCTACTTCTTGTTAATTACTTCCTCCGTTCTAAATTATAAGATGTTATGTGTCGAGACATAATGTATATCTATGTACATAACAAAAAGTACGTATCTAGAAAAGCCAAAACGTCTTATAATTTAGAATGGAGGGGGTATGATATTATGTTCATTTTATAAGAAATGTTCTTTGATAAGATTGGTAGTATGAATTGGATTGTGAGGTTATATATGCATACTCTACTGATTTTTGTTGATGTCTTACCCATCCACCATGGAATTGTTGGCCGTCCCCAAGTACACATTGAACATTTGGACTGCTTACTTTGCTGTCATGAACTGTATGATTTGGCAACAAAACCTTGAAAGAACTTTCTGCGAGATTCTGCAGAAAACCTTATCTCGGTCACAAAGATTGATGCAGATTGATAAGCCTTTTGTTTTCCTACAGATATCCGTGGTGGCCATCGTGCCGAACATGGCCCTGTGGGCAGTGATGGCTGACAGCGAAAGTCTGCAAGCTATCATGGGAGCAGGGGGGCCTTGATCAGTGGAGTATTAGTGCGGCTGGATTAGAACAAGGGCCATCACTGTCGTCACTGGTAGCGCACGGACTCATGCACGCCGCGCCGCGTGACCAAGGCAACGCGGCTTCGCCTTCAACCTCAAATTGTCAAGAGACGTTTCCATCGAAGCAAGTTGCATCTTGCAGATGTGAAAGTAGCCACGATAATATTTTGTGCTCCTCTGTCGTTTTTAGTTGTTTTCGACACTGACAACGAGAATGAGATCTTGGATTTTTCTCATTTTGTTCCATAGATTGTGCCTGTGCGGGACCTCAAATTGTCAACAACAGCAGTTCTTTTAACAATCACAGATGGGGTTGCTGCAACTCTAGCGTGCCAGTGCCAATGCCAATGCCAAGAGGAAATCGCGCTGTGCTACTGCTACCTGTTGCGTCGCCGCACATGGCATCATCCCCAGGACTCGGCGCTGTGGCAGGCGCGGAAGGCCAGCACGAGCAAGTCGAGGGGCACGACAGCGGCGCGGTGGGAGTTTGGGCGAGCAGCGGCGGCGGGAGTTTGGGCACGGTCGTCTAGGAAGAATGCCACACGTGGTTCGTGTTTTGCGAGCGTACGTGTTCCGTGCTGGGCAAAATTGCCTTTGGAACTAAAACTTAGACCACATTATTTTATTTTTGTGGTCTAATGGTATAATATGTTTTTTGGGTTAGCTAAAGTATAAATCTAACTTTAGATCATTTATTTGGAGATATTAGATCTAAACTTTAGTGGCTTAATTTTAGATGAGAGATCTAAATAGGGCCTTAATCTCTTTCTTTCTTCGTATGGCCACCCTCTAATTAGTTTCTTTGCATGCCTCACGATGTTTTTTTTTGCTTGATTAGTTTTTTTACATGGCGAAAGATAGGGCGCAACAGCTGCTAGCATTAGCAACAACGTTGTTTAGCACCTAGTACGGAGTACTGCTCAATGACAAGATCCCCTCGCAAAAGGAGGTGGATTACTGCACAAGGGAGATGGGCCTATAGATGGGCATTCGGACTGTCGGCACGGGCCCGGGTTAGGCACG